AGGGTCACTGGTGAGGCCTCAGGGTCTAAGAGAGGGTCACTGGTGATGCATTGGGATGTAAGAGAGGGTCACTGGTGAGGCCTCAGGGTCTAAGAGAGGGTCACTGGTGATGCATTGGGATGTAAGAGAGGGTCACTGGTGAGGCCTCGGGGTCTAAGAGAGGGCTACTGGTGAGGCCTCGGGGTCTAAGAGAGGGCTACTGGTGAGGCCTCGGGGTCTAATAGAGGGCTACTGGTGAGGCCTCGGGGTCTAAGAGAGGGTTGCTGCTGTGAGACTGGGGCGTAAGAGAAGTTCACTGTTGTGATGTTGAGGTATAAGAGAGGGTGTCACACCAGCGTCCCACTCTTCATATACATATATAAATGAATGGTGTGGATGTATTGACTGAAGTGACTTACTGCCTGTGAGCCCCGCTAAGTGCATGCTGGCCTGTCTTCTTTGTGCAGCTTCTTGCAGGAGCAGAAAGAGGATTTGCGCAAGCGCCTGTCCTACACCAGCCACAAGCTGGATCGGCTAGAGACCGAGTTTGACTCCACACGCCAGTACCTGGAGACGGAGCTGCGGCGGGCTCAGGAGGAGCTTGAGAAGTTTATTGACAAACTGCGCCGGTAAACACTAAGAATCAGGGGAAGCTGCATCCCCCCCCAGCGAGACACGCCGAGGCTGCATGCAAACCTCTCTCTCTGTTATTGATCTATAAGAGGCTTCTTGACTGTCAATGTCTTGAATTCATCATGAGCACATGGATCAGGGACGGCTAGGTTCTTACAAATACCAAAGCCTTTTTAGATGAACCAAACATCTTGAATTAAACCCTAAACCCTAAACATGGGAACTCCTACAAAAGGTTGCTATTTTAGTGAAACAAAAATAAGTGAAAATGGTTATTATGATTTTTATTTGGAAACAAATAAAATAACTTGTGTTTCAGTAGCAATAGCTTGAAGTCAATTTATATTAACTGTTTACCATTTACAGTGATTCCCCGCTATATTGTGGTTTACTATCGTGGTTTAGCTATTGCGCCCCCGCTATATACCGGACTTTTCCCTGACACGTCCCAGTTCTCTGCGTATCGTGTACCTTGCTTGTGATCCGATTGTTTTCGTTTTGTTTTAAGCCCTACGATGGCTCCCAAGCGTCCCTGCATGTTATAAGCCTTCTGATAGTAGTGAGCCTGAGCGCCAGCGCCATTCAGGAGAATGTAAAACTCCTGGATATGCTTTGGGAAGGAAAGCGTTACACGGACGTCACTCGCCATTATGGCTTGAATGAATGGACGGTACGATACCCATTACGTATACAGAGAGAGAGAGTGGGAGAGATGTGTATATATATATACATATACATCACATATTATTATTATTATTATTATTATTATGTTACTCCATATATCACGGATTTTCACCTATCGCTGATGGGTCTGGAACGCATCTTCCGCGATAGGCGGGGCATCACTGTATTTATAAGGTTATTGTTTTGCAATTAATATGCTACTGAATAGGATGGGAGAGTTGAAACAATGTTATATGAAAACATGCTGCTTTTTTGGACCCCATGATTAGGCTACGCTGAAGCACAGCCAAGTAGTTGATAAATAAAATAAAATATAATTATCTGCTAGCTCAGGAATAGTGCTGTCTGTGTTTCACACTCTGAAACAGACTAAATGCATATTCTGCATTCAGAGGCATTGTGACCCAAATCTTGGTCATGAAATATTCAGGTGGAAAATCCAAGCCAGTCTTCCAGGCGCGTGATGATGGGGATGGAGGGCGTTCCTGTGGAGCAGCAGAGGCTGTCTGTGCTCCTGCTTCTGCCTCCCTTCCCCTTCGCTCTTCCTCTGCCCTTCTGCACTCTTCTGAGCGAAGGGGAAGCCCAAACATTCTGACAGCCAAATGTAATTTAAAGGCTATTTTGGGCATCGGCTCGCTTGCTTTACAACTGCACCTGTCACAGTAGCGACACGTTTCATCATTAAAATCACTCTCTCCCTTCAGCAGCTCAGGATCTCTGGCTGGAATCCAGAAAATTAGGAACATCCAGGGATGGAGCTCCTCCCTTGCTGTCCGTCAGCCAGTCCTCACTCAGTAGAGTAGCAACACCTGGGACACTGCCAGCCAATCATAATGCTCAGGATGTGTTAATTGTGCGTGAAAACGTGCAAATACATTTTAGCTTAACCACGGCAAATGCACAGAGGATTGTAATAATGATTAATAAGGATCAATGGAAAGGTTCCACAAAACACTGGGTTTAATGTGCTCCTGTCAAAGTCATGCACACATCTCTGAATTGAGACATTCTGCCTTATTACATTCATTAAAGCCCAAATGACTGCCCTCACCCAGACCCTCACTGCTAACGTTGGATGGATCTTAGTTGAACAGGTCCCTGATTCTGAGTATCAGTCCTAAACACTGTTGTTTTATGCATCTGGTCTCTTATGACTGTAGGTAATTTGCTTCGTTTTTTTTTGCTGGGTAAGAGACATCAATCTCGTTCTTGCAGCATACAGAGCAGCTATGCAGCACTGCAGAGGATTAACCAGGATCTGGAGGATAAAATACAGAGAACGGTAGGTGCCCCCATATACGCCGAGAGGGGACCGACCTCTGCTCAGGAAGCCTAATTGTTTACTCAGGCCAGAGAGCAGGGTTTCCAACTGTGGTTGGCTGGCTGGAGTGAGATCTGAGAAAGTCTGCACAAACATTTACATGTATGTAAGAGTTTTATTACCTTGTAAATAATCTGTAAGGTTTGCAAACTACCTCAAGGAATTTGATGTAGGTCATTTTAGGTTTATAATGAACAAATATGTATTTGCCATAAGATTTTTTGCGTGAGCATGAGAGCAGGAAAGTGTGAGTGTCACGCCAGATGTGTGAGAGCTGGTGACCCAGAGAGAGGCAATGATCCTTCGGAAACAACTGCGAAGTGAATCATGATAGTAACCACCCAGAAGTGCCCCGCTGCCCCCACTGTAGGATTCGACCAGGCCACAGCCGGCGCACGCTGCTGCGGTCACGGTGAACAGCCACACTTCAATAGTGAGCTTGTGCAGTTTGTTTAATTAAAATGCTTTACTGTCTAAGCCTGTACACCCTTTTTTAATTTCTGAAAAATCTGAAATATAAAAATCTAACTAAAATGTGATATATCTTTAACAAAGAACTTATACTTTGTTTCTTTTCCAATTTTGCTTTTGATTTTAGTAGGAGAAATATCATCATCATCATCACCATCATCATCATCACCACCACCATCATCGTCACCACCACCATCATCGTCACCATATTCGTTCTCCTGGTGAGAGCCACAGTATTTAGGAGATATACTGAAACAAAAACAAGTATCTCTAGTGCTCTTACAAGAACAATGTGGAGTCTGGATTGTGGCCAGAACACGTTCTAGGGATGTCTAGAACATGAAAGTGCCAAATTTACTGAATGCTATCCACACTGCAGGAAACCAAGCATGGAGTGCTAATGTCATTATTCATGAAAATTAACATGTGCATTATTATTATTATTATTATTATTATTATTATTATTATTATTATGGTGCTGTTGTTGTTAGATTTCTGCTGCAATATCAAATTTAACCCTTCTATATTCAATTTTACATTCTAATAAATCAGCACATATGGATTCCAATAACCTGCCGTGTGTTAATTTCAGCATGTGGGACAGTAATGACAAACAGTAGCACATCTCCAGTTTCGGCAGAATCCAGGCACTGCGTAGCACTCTGACATGGTGCTGCTGGACGGGGGGGGGGGCTCTGTGAGAGGCGCTCGCCACTTAGTGCCGCTTCCTGTGCCTTAATGAGGATCCACCCGGCAGCAGTAGCGTTTCACAGCTCGCTGTCACTGTAATTTCATTTGGTGCTAATGGTTGGGGCTCATGATGCCAAACACCCACACGCTTCACGTTTCACACCCGACCAAAATGAAAACTTCCTATAGCAGTTGTTTAGAAAGCTCCCCGTTTCACTTTGCATTATAGGTGCTAAAGAGTTTCCTAATATTACAGACTTCCAGCATGACCTCACATGCTGCATGGAGAATGTTATCACTGGAAAATTGGTGTTTTTGTTTCCATCAACTTACCATAAATCCATCCACCCACCCACCCATTCATCCTACCACCCTCCCATCCATCCATCCATCCATCATCCATCCTCCCACACACTCATCCATCCATCCATCCATCCTCCCACCTCCCACACACTCATCCATCCATCCTCCCACACACTCATCCATCCATCCATCCATCCATCCTCCCACCTCCCACACACCCATCCATCCATCCATCCATCCATCCATCATTTTCCATACCCAGTATCCAGCACCTGGTTGTGCCGTAAATTGTATCACTTTGTATCATTTATATCCTTCCACTGACATCACTCTGATTAGAATTAAAAAAAAAAAAAAAAAAAACAGTCTCCATGGGATGCATTTGCAGACTGTCTCTAGGTTACCAGGCATGACTGTTGTAATGATCAAATAAATAGATTTCCAATTGCAACGTAAACATATTCCTTCACATTTATCAGCAACATAAAACTGATCTGGAGACTGTGGGAATTTTATTTGGATTTCTCAGTAAACTGGTGATGCTGTTGGGCCATTAGCCATTTATGCATAAAACTCTAAGTTACTCTGGATAAGTATATACGCCTCTTTTAGAGACAAACAAATAGTTAAAAGTTGAGTTAGGAAATAAAACCTGGTGAAAAATTTTAGTGGTTCATGAAGCCAAGTAATTGCATATTCCTCAACATGACAATAACTACGAAAAATCAATTTAAAGGTTAAAACACTGTTATGGTTCAGTAGGGGTTGTCTGGAATGTTTTATGCAGCTTCAAAAAATAGCAAAAAGCTGTGTGTTTGTGTGGGAGAGTGGCAGAGAGACACATTAGGTCAGTCTTATCCATTCCAACCCCTGGCAGACAATCAGAAACTGCGGCCCTACTACTTATGCAGTGTTGGTACTTAATGTGGCTGAAGATACAATACACACTTCAATGGGGCTGAGGTGTCAGGCTTGCAGTAAGTGCAGAATCAGTGCAGCCCTGTCTCACACCTTTGATTCACTAAGATCCGCTGTCATATTATCCAAAAACCATCCATCAGCTCAAGCATTTTGCTTATTCATGACACAAAGGATGTGCTTCTTCATGATTCTGCAGGCAATGATTTGCATGAAAAAATACAAAAGCATCCAGTATTCACAAGAATCCATAATCAAGAGATGGCAGATGTATGCAGATTGTTCTACCTTTGAGGGACAACAAACATGAAAGGAGTTAGACTTATTTTGGCACAGAGGACGCATCTCCAGGGGCTGTTTACTTGCTGGCTGAATGAGGCAAGACCAGTCTTGATGAGGCTCAGTGGAAGTGGGGGCTGTATCATTAATGACCCCAAAAGCTTGATGTGAGAACCTGTGATGAGCCAATGGAGGAAAAATGCGGAGGCGTGTAACAAAAGAGCATTTTGGCCACATGAAAATCAGACATGCTGCTGCATTTTAAATCATCACAGAATGAGCTAGTTACCTTATCAGTATGGAGTTGCAATAGTCAAGTCATGAAATGACAAGTGCCTGTACTTGGAACTGAGCTGCATACTCTGGCAAATAAGGCCCGGTAGGATGAATACACAAGACAGGGAGATAACTATAATGTGGTGGCTATCGTCACACCATGGTTCCTGGCAGACCTTGATGGAGACCACCCTGATGACCTAAGTATAATGACCGTGTGGAGGATGGTAGAGATGGCAGAAAAGAGAATAAGCTGAAGGTGATGGTCCCTCATCCAGGCCGCAGTGTTGGTGAGGCATGTGGAGATGTGAGCAGAGATGTGAGCAGAGATGTGAGCAGAGATGGCGCTGTCCTCAGGAGGGAAAGTCTCGAATTTGAATGAACTGTCCGGCATAGCAATGAGTATCTGAATTGTAATTCAACAGTTTGGGCAGCGTAGTACTTTGAAGGAACACGAACCCTGTCCTGGAGATACTGTGGATGCTGTGAGCAGCCTGGTACAGTTGGTGGTTAGGAGTGGAGGAGACAAGAACTTTTTCTGTAGAATATGCAACTTACTGTCACTCCGATCTAATTGGATCTTAGAGTGCTATTGCAAGCAGCAGCTGGTTACATGACACATCATTCTTTTTAGTCATGACCTTAAAAGCCCTCTAGGTGCAAAAGAAGAAAAGAAAACATAAAGGTTATAAAATATTCTAGCTATATTTTGCTAGAATGTCGTAAAATTTATGCTGAATCCAGTGTGAATTAATGAGTCTGTTACCATGGAGACTATGAGGTCTGTTTTGCAGTAATTAGCTTGATTGCTTTAGTGGCCCTTTTGAAGTCCCAGCTCTATCACAGGCTGCCCCCTTTGGGCCATCATCAGTGGTGTCAATATGGAAAATGCTGCTGCAGGAAGTGACACATCTTCCCACTCAGTGTTTCTGGTTAGAGGCAATAATATATACTTTGCATGTAGCATGAGGAAATGTTAGGTTCCACTAGCATAAACCTAAGTACATTTTATAGATGTACTAGAATATCTAGTGGGCATTGCATTGGTGTGTGGTTCAGTGGGTTGGATGGTTGCTGGTTTGAATCCTAGCCTTGGTGGAATAGTCACATTTCTGATGAGTCCTAGAATAAGGCCCTTAATCGCTGGAAAGTGCTCCAATGGTGATGAATGAATGTCCTGACCGTGTGTGTGTGTGTGTGTGTGTGTCTGTGGGAAGTGGAGCACAAGGTGGAAAGTGTAAGAAGCAGCGTTCCAAGGTACCTCTGCAAATGGCAAACAAAGGATGTCTGCATCTTATTCATTACAATGCGCAAGTTATTGTGGAGAGTCAACACAACTTTGGAAAAAAGTCATAATCAATGAATGATACATACAGACACAATAGCGGACAGCAAATGTACTACAACAGTTACTTACATTGATCAGTATTATCATGTCAATACTCATAAAATAATAAAGAAATTGCAGGTGGATTGAGGATTTTATAAGATCCCATGGCATTTTCTTCAGTAGTACTATTGGAATTTAATGCTAATAGGAAGTTGCTCACCAGTGTGTTGGGCGCAGAGGACAGACTGAATGCAGGTGTAAATTAGAGCTTGATGGTGAGGTTAGAGAAGCATTTCACTATCAATGGCTGGTATTGCTAATGCTGACGCTAATTATACTGTATCACAATGCCACAATCCATCCAGTGACAGAATCATAGCAAGCCGATTTTCAACATGCACTCTTTCTCGGATGCAGCTTTGCAACACAAAGGCTCAATTAACCTGCCAGCCTTTACACAGGAGAGAACATCACTATCTTTCACAATGATTAGGATGTGAGAAGTGAGTTGGTCTTCCCTTTTTTCATGTGTTTTGATGATGAGTCATTTTTCACCAAGATCTATAGTCCAAAACATGTTTCAAATGTTCACATAGGCCAAGTTTATTCCTTGAAGAATGTTTGTTCTGTGTTGTGCTTGTTCTGCTATGACATTTGCGGCTCGTCCTTTGCATGAATGTCACACCTTTCCCTTCACTCTGCTGCCCCTTGCTTCATCTGCAGTCTCAGCACCATGATGACGAGAAAAGAGCCCTCAGTCGCGAGATCGTCATCCTCAACAACCATCTCATGGAGGCTAAGATGACCATCCAAAAGCTCCGTGAGGACAATGTAAGTCTGCCAGCGTTTTGGTTGCACTGGATGTGAGAGGGCATGGACCCCCAATAAGCTGTGAGATAGACAGCTGCACTCTGGGTGATTTTTAGAGGATCACCAGTCACCGGTAACTTCAAACACGTCGGGTGATGGATTTGTCAACAAGGTGGATGCTGCTGAACTTAAAGGGAAGCTGTAAGCTGTTCAACATTTGGTGTGATGTAACTCAGCTCTGCCACTGTTATCTGTTCGACGCTGCTGATTGGGCAATAATTTTTAAATATTAATGGATTTCAAACCTAAATATTACATTTTTAAGTACAGCAAACTAAAAAGATTAGTACTTTAAGAAATGCAAAGATTCTTTCAAACAGAATCATTAATTAACAAATAAGTATGAATTAATTGAGTTTAACCTACCCTGATGTCTTGCCTTCTAAGTAGCTCAATGTCTATGCAATAAACATCATTTTACACATTTCAAATTCAAATGCACTTATCTTCATTTAATAAGAATTAAAAATAATGTACTAATTAGCGAGCTAATTATGCCATGTCAGCTGCGGTAGCATCTGCTGTGCCTGACAGAAAGGCAAAGTGGATGGTTTGCAGGGGGCTTGGATGTTCCACTGGCCTCTGTGTGACTCTCCTTAACATTTGGGCTCCGCATCAGTAGTGACACACAGCACAGCTGCTCCGTCGTGCGACCCGCTCTCACTCTCACTCTTCTTTCACACCTTCCATGCAGTTGATATCACTGTCAGAGGAAAGCCTGACATTTAGCTTTTTTTTATTGTTTTATTTTCCATGGCTTTCTCATTAGGCCATTTATTTTTCAGCAACGTTTGTAATGTATTTCTAGACGAACTCCCACGTTTACCAAAATTGCCTTCTGAGGAAATGCCTGCCCACAACACAGAGCCCAGCAGTAAACAGCTCTGGCCTGGTTAGCGCTGAGTTGGTGTAACGTTGCCGCTCAGCCTGTAAGTGGCAGCTAATCCCGGCCCAGACCCTCGCTCTGCCCACGGGATTGTTAACATGCCAGAAGCTGTTAGCTGCGGGATAAACACTTAAAGGTATGACTCACATTCTAGCGTTCGCTTGTAAGCACGACTCCCCAACACAATGACGAGAGATTTTTAAGCACTTCAGTGTATCTAGTATTGTGCAGGCTGTTTTGCTATGTACTAAATATACTTGGACACTGCAGCAAAGTCTGTTATACACCATCTGCAAACATTTAATACAGAGTCTTCCACAACTTCAAATCCACAATAAAATAAGTTATCTAATTTATGCCTGATATGAGTTTATATGCACTTGTGTAAATGACAAATCAAGGATCATTTCCTCACTGCAAATACAAGATACAATCAATAATTAATTGTAGTAAAGGACAGAAAATACATTACAGAATAGTGAAAATATAACTGCATGGCATCAAAAAGACTGTGATAAATGTATTCCTAATTCGGTGTAAGTGGACCAGAGGGTCCCCCTTGACTGAAACTTTGCTTTGATCTGTTCCCCTGGTTTGCCTGGGATTGTGAAGACTGTCCATCTTTCTTATTAATTTGGCCCACAGATGGTTGTAATTCAGCAGGTCTTTGTATAATTTATACATCATATATAAAGAGTTGTGAAACTGTAGAAAGACCCATTGGAAGCACAGGAGACATTAAAACTGAAACTCTGCTCCCATTTGATTCAAGCACACTAAGCAGATCTTCACAGAGGCATTCACTCTTTATATAAGCACTCACTTCACAGAGGCACTCACTCTTTATAGAGGCATTCACTCTTCATAGAGACACTCTTTATAGAGGTGCTCATACTTCATTGAGGCATTCACACTTCATAGAGGCACTCATTCTTCATAGAGACACTCACTCTTCATTGAGGCATTCACTCTTCATTTAAGCATTCACACTTCATAGATACACTCACTCTTCATAGAGACACTCACTCTTCATTGAAGCGCTCTTCATTGAGGCACTCATACTTCATTGAGGCATTCACTCTTCATAGAGGCACTCACTCTTCATTGAGACACTTACTCTTCATTGAGGTGCTCATACTTCATTGAGGCAGTCACTCTTCACAGAGGAATTCATTCTTTCATTCACTCTTCCTCAGCACATAGTAATGAACTCCATTATAAAAACCTGCATACAGTCTGTTTCATATACCTTCATTGATTTTAGTGTCTTAACTTTCTTCACATAAACACTTCTATTATCTGTTTGATGCAGTGCAGTTCATTGATATATCTGAATGCTTCTTTGTTTCAGACAAGGCTTGAATGTTTGTTTCTGGTATATTATGTTGTGGATGATGTATAATACTGTAGGGCCCAAATTTCCTCTTTCCAGTGCAATGTATATGTTCTGGGTGCACACAATTATCTTAAATTATATTACAATTGTATTTTACATTTCAATGTAAAAAATATACTTTATAATACACAAAGGCCATGTGGAAGTGGTGGCACTCGAGCTGCCAGCCTGCACTCACACTGACGGCAAACTGTCCTCCCCTCAGGACCTGTACAGGAAGGACTGTAACCTGGCTGCACAGCTGCTGCAATGCAACAAGTCTCACTACCGAGCCCACGAGCTTTCGGAGGTACCTGCGCTAATGCTAATGCTAATGCTGTGGCATGTTTTTATGACAGTAGTAAATATCAAATGTAATGAAGTGGTATCAGTGAAATGCTCAGTGTCCTCACCCCTCTAGCACATGGGTTTCTATCCTGCCGATTACCCCCGTCACAGTGAATGCTGTCAAAGAACTAAAAATGCCAAAAGTGTTGTATTTAGTTAATTTGGTTACTTATGGTTAAGGTTAGGGCTGGGAGGGGGCTAAGGCTGTCATTGGTGGGATTAGGGTTTTGCTTATGGCTGCCACCCATCACTTATAATACAAGATCGTCCCACACTGAAAAATTAACTGTTGCGTCCCATATTATAGGAGATGATCCCGTATTATAACCCTAGTTACGCTTAAGTTAAGTTTGAATGTGTTTCCTCTGCTTTTCTCCAACATTCCAAAAGTAAATGCTTAGGCAAATGTGCAGCATTGTTTGTCTGCATGTGTGTGACCTGCGATGGACTTGCATCTACTCCCTCAAGGGTTTCCCAGGGTCTGAAGGGTCACCCTGACCCTAGACTAGATAAATGCAATGGATTATGGGTGGCTGTTTAAGAGAATGTAACAGTAAGGCATGCCAGCCTCTTGCTGCCCTGTCCCTTTGCCCAGCTCCCTGCAGAGTTCCAAGAGCGTGTCAACTTGCAGATGGAGGCGTCCCCCCTCCGCCACTCACCCTACTCCGACTCGGTGCCCACCTCCGTCATCGCTAAAGTGCTGGAGAAGCCAGAACCCGGCGTGGCCTCCAGGGCTGCCAGCCCCATGCCCCCCATGCCCCCCGAGCTGCCCCGCCTGCCCGGCAGCCCGGTGAGCAGTGAGCGCCTCACCCTGCGCATGGTCTACAGGTCGGACGTGTATAGCAGCGACACAGCGCTCTACTGCTCCGATGAGCATGAGCACCAGGAGCTCTGCCAGAGCATGGAGCTGCACGAGCACCAGGAGCTCTGCCAGAGCATGGAGCTGCACGAGCGGGAGTCCAGCCCCTTCCAGGCCCACAACTCCACCGACAGCAACCCTGAGGAGGAGGCTCTCCTCCACTCCAGCTTTTCCCAGGAGCCATTTCTGGAGTTTGCCGGCTCGCTGCCGCCGTCCAGCTCCTACTCCAGTTTCAGTGGTGCTTCGGACGAGAAGCCCCGCCCCCCCAGCAGCAACCTGTCCTCCCCCCAGCAGGCCGCATACATGGAATGGCGGGATGGCGACTATGAGCACAAGAGCAACTCGTCCTACGAGAAGGACAGCCCCGGCTTTACTGAGTCGCACAGTTTCCAGCAGGTGGCTCACGCTTACCAGAACAGCAGCTCACCGGCGACGGTGCCGGACTCCCCGCTGCACATGCGTGCTGCCTCTGCCTGCTTCGGCGAGCCCTTTCCCGCTCGCCGCATCCCATCCTCCTACAGCGTGGGCTCTTACAGGCGGTATCGGGATCCCCGTGGCACTACTCATGACCCCAGTGATGAGCTGGGTGTCCGCTGGAGGCAGCTGAGTGTGGAGGACCTGAACGCCTACTCCTATGCCAGCACCGGGCGCGTTTCGCCTTACAGTTTCTCAGAACAGCACTACGTGGTGCGACCCGGGAAGGTGAAGCTGGGCCCCCTCTACAGCAGTCTGCAAGAGAGCGGCAACGTCTACAGCAACGTGCCAGAACCCGAGCCGGCTGCCTCCAGCCCGAGTCCGGAGCACGACCCCACCCTGTCTGAGCAGGAGCACCTGTACCTCGTCAAGGAAGATGACCTTTTCGACTCAGGAAGCCCCAAGGACGAGGAGAACATGGCAGGCAGCATGAAGGAGTATGTACACATCAGTCCCAACAGCTCCAACGAGTCCCTAAACCCGAGGGCGCTGGAGGTTCGCGAGCTGCAGCCCTACCCGGTGGAGAGGCAGAGCCCGGCCCTGCTCAGCCAGTCTCTGCCACAGTATCAGCAGTTCGGAAGCCTGGGACTCTCCAGGAAAGACAGCCTGACCAAGGCCCAGCTGTATGGGACACTGATGAACTGAAAGCCTGCTTCCCTGGGCTCTGCTGTCATGCGTCTCTTCTGCTCTGAACTTTGGGTCCAGTAGTAGGTGAGCTGACTGAGCATCCCAGCTGATTACTGCAGGGATTCTGTAAGTGACAGGAAATGTTTTAGTTTAAATGCCATTAAAAGTTATAGAACAATATTTATCAATACAGAGAAGAACTATACCTTTTTAAACATTTTACTGAATTGCAGAAATGCAACTTTATAGAGAGCTCAGTGAGGCACTATCAGTATTGGAATTAGTTTTCTAGATTTCACTCATTCATTCTTCTAATTTAAATTATGTTATATTGACCCAGGTCATTTCAATATATTAGTTATGGTAAATCTATACTTACCTATTCATTTCAAAAGCAATATACATCGGTGCACCTCTATAACTATGGTAATGGTAAATGAGCTACAATACACTACATCTACACTACACTACAATACATCTGGCATGACTTTACAAATCATTCAAATTCTTCAGCTTGGTTTTTACTATCGTACATTTTTTGATGTACTTAATTTGAAGCAGATTGTTAGAAAGTTAAATATTATTTTCCATGTTCAGTTATTGTTATTCTTTTTCATTTTTACATATGACCTAAAGATGGATTTATTTGATGTTAAAATGCACATCAGTGGCCTTGGATCTATGTAAGACCTGAAGGGACCAGTTTTGCCAAAATGGCAAAGGACCCTCTAAGGGGATATTTGCAGCTTGGTTTGTCTGGGATGACAGAACATTCAGACTGTTCCTGGTTCTTCTCTTTAGAATGATCTTATATGGGCTACTCTAATCTCAAATTATTGAAAATAGAGAATCCCCCTATTCATTTTCTAACAATAAATTACCACCTTGAGAGATTTGTTTTTTAATGGCTTTGAGAGATCTATTTGTTAGCCAACTAATAAATAGTGACATTTCTGAGTGCTTTTTTTCTCACGGTGCGTTTAGCCAGGCAGTCAGGGGCAGTTACAGCCCGCATTGGGTGGCCTGAGAGCAGAGAAGCATATTCTGTTGTTGTATAATGAAATAACAGTTCTGGTTTTGTACACTAGCACAGTGTGTGTGCGGCTGTTTTGATGCTCTTTGGTCTGACCCGAGCCCCCCTCCCCATCACCCCACTCTGCCTCAGGTTTCACCCCGTATCCCTTTGGAACATCCAGCACTGTTTACGTTGACTTTTCTCAGCATGTTTATACATTTTTACAGTGTTTCTTTGCTAATAAAGAGTGATGGCAGACCGTACATTTACAGACCCTCTGAAATTACTAATGCGTTTGCTAAACATCATTTGGAAAGAATACTTGAACATGCTTCATTTTGGAAAACAGGATCACTCGATGTGCACTTGATCAAAGATGCTTTTTGAGGGATACAGTCAGACCTGAAGAATCAACATGAAGCATGTGTGTCACCTTCCTGCAGTCCTTCAGACATACATAAACTTCCATTGGATTTCGTATTATGACCAGGATGAATGCAAAAAGTGACCTTGACATTGAACATAGTGTAATTGTAAATAATCAAAGTGCACTGAAATGCCACTAGATTAAAAAAGTTCATGTTGTGTCTAATGAATTTTATGGTAACACTTTACTTGACGGGGCACAAATGATGTAGTATTATACTTTTACTTACATATTAATTAACCACAAACTAAGTATTAGTTACATACTAATCTCATGTTAATTCATCATTAATTGTGACGCATATTTTCTCAGTTTCTATATTTGTAAGTATATCTGTTAATTATGCAAACCATTGTGAACTACTGAAGGAAGTACTGAAGGAACAAGTCATGAATAAAACAAATGAAATACTGATCTCATGTTTGTTCATCATTAATGAATGGTGATGCTTCTTTTATCTCAAGTAGCAAGTATATTAATACTTCAGTAATAATTTGTACTTCAGTAGTAACTGAGTTATTACTAAGTATCTATACCCTGTCAAGTATAGTGTCACCAATTTTATTATTCTGCTGGTATTGGTTTTGTAAAGTCACGGGGAAAAAATGTGTAAATAAAGACTGACCTGCAACCTGACCTACAAATAGCCAGAAACATTCTGTTGTGTGTATAAACCAATATATTTCTATGGTTGTATATACATATAACCCCTCTAAAAACCCCATGGTCTGTATGTTCTTTAACCAGAGGCAGTACAGACACATGTATGTTTTCTTCTTTCTCCCTCTGCAGGGATGCAGATATTTGATTGGCTTGTGAGGCATTTATCTTGGATCTTTGCTGGTAGAACCTGGAGACAGACAGCATACAGCCTGCCATAGCTCAACATAAAATAGCATCCAATGGTGAATGTCTGCCTATACAGAAGCCAGACTCAGACGAATCATGTCTGCTTTCACAGAAGTCAGAGAGTGATGCAATTCACGGCAACAGCACTGAGCTATCAGTGCTTCTACGTGTATTTTACGTTGCAAAATAAGAAATAAGGCAAAAATGGCAAAATGCAAACATATAATAATCAGTGGTTTTATCTGTATCTAAAGCATGATCAAAGTATCAACAAAACTTAGGCGGTTCAGAAATTCCAGATTAAATTATCAGCATCATAAAAAGTCAATTCATTCATAATTCCAGTACATTCCCAACTTTACTATGCATTTTACCCCAGAGTTATAATGAAAAAAGCACATTCATTAATTCATCCTTACTAGGCGAAAAAATAAGCGTCTAGCCACAAACTGGCAGCACTTTTTTACAGTGATTCATTATAGTTTCTGTATCTGAGAGATAAAAATCGTTCGAGTGCCTAAGGGACTAGACACATTCTAAGTGTCACTGGTCTAGGTGAGAAGAACGACTTTCTCTCAATCCTCAGAGGCCGAGATTTTTTTTTCGGTACAATGTTAATGCAAAATCTCTCAGGCTGGAAAAAAATCTCTAGTCAGACCCTAAAATTTAAACTGCTTGCTGACTAAACAGAAGAAAATATTTATGTTGCTCAAAATATAACAATGACGATGATGTGTAGTTTTGTATGAGATTAAAACTAGAAACCGTGAACTGGATGGAGTTAAATAACAAAACTGTTGAAGAGGCATGGGAATTTTTTAAAAGCACATTATTGCA